CTATCAATTATTTTGAATATAGATATAGTAGGAGATGATATCAAATCTAATTTGAAAATTAAAGATACATTTCCTTAATTTATCACCTTAAATGTGGCATTGAGGTTAGACTCACATAACGCAATATTTAACAAATCAAAATTTGACATTTGTCAGACACATCATTGAGGGTGATTTTTAAGGGTAATAAATTAGGTTATCTTAAGTATTTTTCAAAATAAAATAAACATCCTACAAAAAAGGAAGAGAGAGATGGAAGCTCATTTATTTCAAACAATTCTTTAAAATAGATCGATGAATTTCACTTACTATTAATTTTATAATAGTAGAACCCAAAAAAAAAATCCATTAATGCTATAAATTACGGCAAAAAAAATAAAATAAAAATGCATTTCAATTTATTGCAAAAAATAATAAGTCAAATAAATAAAAATTCTTTATTTAAAATTATATAATACTGTATGCATTGCAAATTTATATATATATATATAATTATAATAAAATAAAATAATAGAAGGCAAATTAATGAATGAAAATGAGAGAAATATAAAAAAATAAAAAATAAAAAATAAAAAGTATTTTAGTCACTATGTAAAAAAAATAATAATCACTAATCTAACAGCTTTAAAAGCTTTTCCTATTTTCTGTACAAATTCGAATAATTGTGTTCATTGATGATAATCAAATAACATTTTTAAAACATAGTTCTCACATTATTTTATGAAAAAAAAATGATATATAAGTTTACTTTCTAGCTCTGTTATCATAATCTTACAATTTGCAATTCAATTTACGATTCAATTCGTAATTTTTGTAAAATCGATACAAATCTATAGGTGAATCTATTTTGGAAGTGAATCTCTAGTGAATCGCACGATTCACAATCGATTCACGATTCGATTCACTTTTACGATTCATGCAATTCTTAAAACTATTGTATCCGACATGTTTTCGTCTTATTTTTTCTCCATTTTTTTAGTGAAAATTACATAATACAATTTCTAATAGCGTTTTACACCAAAACAACTAATATAAATACATGATTTTTTGTTATTTTACTGATCATGAAGTTTTTAATAGGATCCAATCAGATTCAGTCAGAACCAACATTTTTTTAACCTTTCTTCTCAATTTTTTCCTTAAAAAAATGATAATAGATCTTCTAAAGATATTTAAAATTAAAGTAATTTATACCATAAATTATCTATTACTATTTTATTAAATTAAACATAATTGAATTTTATATGAGTGATGTTAGTTATACTTTTTATAATGTTTTAGGGTTTAAATAAAATATTCTAAATAATTTTTTCTTATTATTTGGTCATTGTTAATTGGAAAAGTATGTATGTTTATTGCCTTCCCAAACCAAGCTTTTAAGCCCAGGCTAAAATAGCCAAAAAAGCCAAAAAGCCAAAAAGCCAACCCACTTCCCAAACCAAGCCTAGATATTTAAGATTAAAGTAATTTATACCATAAATTATCTATTACTATTTTATTAAATTAAACATAGTTGAATTTTATATGGGTAAGGTTAGTTATACTTTTTATAATGTCTTAGGGTTTAAATAAAATATTCTAAATAATTTTTTCTTATTATTTGGTCATTGTTAATTGGAAAAGTATGTATGTTTATTGTCCAAATATCAAATATTATTATTAAATTATTGTTACTTTAAAAATTGAGTGTTTATCTTTATTTACTGTCTTTATTAAGAATAGTTGATAAAAAATATTTAAAAAAGGGAAGGTAAGATGGTAACCAGAGGAATCTTTATTAACTTCTTACCTATTAAACTATGTGGTCATCATTCAAAATAATATTTTTGTTGGTTTAAGTCTAAATATTTCATATATTTAACATTAAAATGTGTAGTTATATTTTCTAAGTAATTTAGAAAAATAAACTGAATCTTTGTTATTCACGATTTGATTCGATTCGCGATTCGGTACGAGGCCATTTTGATTCAAAATTCGAATACTGATTTGACAACATGCTTTCTAGATTTAATGATGTGTAAGATGATAGATGATTGGCTAATAATTAGAGAAAATATGATAGAGAAAGTTGTTTGAGATATTCTAATAGATTGTTACATCATTAAATTTGAAAATTAAGGTTTTGTTTGGCATGTGCTATTTTAGCACATTACTTCAAATCGAATCTATATTTAACGTTTTTTCATAAAAAATTAAAAAATAATCTACTTTTCAAATAACTTCCTAAATCTATTTTTTGAGCTTAAATAGTAATGCTCTTTGTGAAAATATTGAAGACACAATTTTAGTGTCAACCATTTGAATTTGTTTTGTTGTTGGTATTTTAAAACTAATTGCAGGAACTAATTTTTGAAAACTAAGGTCACGTTTGGTTATATACTAGAATCATGATTTGAATCAAAAAAATTTAAAACTCATTACTAAGAAAATTTTTAAAACTCGATTAAAACTCTTTTCAAAACTCTATTTTTGAATTTTTTTTTTTTTGTTCTTTAAAATATTTTTTATATTTTTTTTCAAAAAATATTTTTTAATTTTTTCTTTGAAGAAAAATATTTTTGTCGAAAAAATATTTTGCTACTTTTGTAAGTATTGGCCAATAATTTGTTATGATTTATGTATATGGGCGATTCAAAAAAAAAATTTAAAAAAATCAAATATTTAAAAAATAAAATATTCAAAAAAATTAAAATATTTAAAAAATAAAAGAAAATATTTAAAACAAAAAATAATTTTTAAAAAAATTTAAAATATTTTTAAAAAATACAGTGTACAAATGTAGTAAATGTAGCGTACATTAAAAAAATTATTTACAATAAAAAATATTTACCCTAAAAAAATAAAATTATGAAAATTTTTAAATAAAATAAATCTAAAAATTTCAAAATATAATTCAAACACTCAAACACTCAAAACTTAAAAAACAATTCAAAATTTAAAATCAAACAAGTTTTTTTTTTTTTTTCAAAACTCATTTCAAAAACTTAAAACTGAAATCATGATTCAAAACGTAAACCAAACTGAAAAATTTTGGTAAATGTAGACTTTCATTATGATTAGAAAAGGCAAAATAGGGTGTATCACTTGCATTTAAATTTGGGAAAAATTAATCACCTGTTCATACTTCTCACTTGTGACCCAGGTACAAATTCCTCAGCATTTTTTGTGTATAATTTGTTGAGCAGTATTAATTAACAAAGAAATCTGTCTTTTTGAAATAATGAAGTTAATAACTAGTTTTGTTCCCAAATATTAAGGAAAGCTTTAATATGCAAATTAAACAGTACCCATATTTTTCATATAAAGTATAATTCATGTGAAATATTTAATCATATAAAATAGAACAGTATTCAAATTTTAAAAGAAAATGCTATAGGCCTAAATTTTCTACTAAATAAATGAGTAAATGTCTCACATAGTGTGAGATAAATGTGGACTCCACACTTATATGAAATATTTAATTATTTATTTAGTAAGAAATTTAATATCTCTAATATTACCTAATTTTAAAAGGCATTCAGATTCTTCTTAACACTTTCCTAAAAGTTATGTTTGAAAAAAAAAAAAAAAAAAAAAAAAAAACAGAAAAGACGAAAAAAAAATGAAAAAAAAAAAAAAAAGAGTTTATTATTTTTAAATGAGTAGCATTTTTGGATGAGAAAGAATGTTTGGGGAGGGGAGACTTTAAAGTCAATTCCAACACAAATTTCCAAACACCTTTCTCTTTCCGCGTAGGAGATAAGAGCATAGGGGCAACCCACATTTTTATCAAAGTTCAGGCTGTAACAATGATTCTTACTTTTAGAAAATAGAACTTTCTGTAAAGGACTTATTAATGTTAGGATCATGAAAAATATATTATGAAAGATTTTTAATTTTTAGATTATTTATACAATAAATCATACATTAATCAAGACTAATTAAGGGATAAAAAATCTTCATAATGTATTTCATAATATATTTTTCATGATTTCTAATATTACTCCTTATTTATATTTGCTCTCTCTCTAATATATACTTGCTTTACACGTGTCAAAACTTGATTGGTTAATCTATTTAATTTTGTCTACTATATGAAAAAACAGGCAAGGGCATATGCAAAGGCAATGAAGGCCACACTTTTCTTCTCAAGTTCGACACACAACATCAACGTCAACAAGATATTCAAGTTCATAATGGCCAAGCTCTTTAACTTGCCTGGGACTGTCCAGAGAAATTTGACACTTGGTGAACCCATCATCGACTTCTAATTCGCGCTTTACTCTGTTGTACTCTCTTACTATCTTCTTCATCCATTTGTACATACATACACATACATATCCATCATCAATTAATTATCAATTAACACAACCAAAAAAAAAATTTTGATTCCACACTTTACCATATTTTGATGTTCTGGATTTTTTTTTTTTTTTTTTTTTTTTTTTGGGTTCCCAAATAAGTGTAATGAAATCTTTTGAGTAACAAGTACTCTTGTTTGGTATATGATAAAAAGTGATATTGAAATTTGATATGGCCAAACAATCACACTTTGGACCAAGTATAATAACAAAATATTAAACATACATAAATTTCATCAAAATAGTTCAAAATGAATACAGTAAAGGTAGGGAAGGCTTATCGAACTCTATAAATCAGAAAGTAAGCAGCATTGTTAATGTAATTAGTGAGTTGACTCGAGCCATTTTTAATCAATTTGATAAAAAAAAAAAATTGGCCTCCTTTCATACATATTAAGGAGTGAAAGAGAGAGCCACAGATTACTAAGAAATATATACACAAAGTGCTAAAAAGAATCAAACAAAACTCTCTGATAATAATGATGCAAATACATTATTCCAACAGATCACTGTCTTGTTATTATTCTGCAAACATAGATAATAATATTTTTAAGTTTGGTGCATCATCAAATGCACAATGACAACAACAATTAAACAAACATAATAATAGGTATTTGAATTCATCACTCATCACTCATCACTCTCATCACTCAATATCACTCAATTGATAAATATATTAAGAGCATTTGAGGCTCTGTGAATCTGCAACAGAAACTCAGCATTTGCACGGTACGATGCCTCCATGTCAATGCCATCAGGACTCTTCTTATTCGAGAGATTGATGTACAATGTCTCCAATGCATACCCATACTTGATAAAATACTGGATCGCCAACATTTCATTCAGATGCCCTTTGAAGCCTGTCACATTCACCACCTTCAGAGTTCTTTTAAGGCACTTATACACCATGATATATCCGTTACTCAGGAACTCATGTTCCGCAAGAGAAAGTGTAGCTTCCCTCTCCTGAACAAAAACAAAATGAAACAAAACAAAAAAGGTGTTTGAAAAATATAATGGAATAGAAGATAGAATAGATAGATATACTTACTGGAAAAATGGTGGTTGAAGAGGAGATATGGATGGTGAGGGTCTGCAAGCGAGGGCAACTGAAGAGGAAGAAAGATATTCCATGGTATTCATTAATGTGCAGCGCCGTCTTCATTATCAAATGCCTCATTTTGTAAAGAGGAGGTTTTAACATTGGGTATTCCTCTGCTGTTGATATTATCTTTTTTGTTCATCATCAATAAACGCACAATTACTATTAAGCAGAAGAAACAATGGATACATCAGGGAAGGAAAATTTGAATGTTTCCTGAAATTTAATTAAAAATAACCCATCAAAGAGAAACAAGTATTTCTCATGTTTGTTTGGGGGTCCTTTTGTCCCAAAATCTAGTTCTCTCCTACTAATATACATATGAAAATCTTGAAATAGCGACTGAAAGTGCATCAAAACAGAGGACAAAGGATTTTGCAAACATAATATCATGTACTCTCTTCATGTTTGATCCACTATCAAAAACATTTGGCTATAATAATTAAGAAAATTGATTTGAAATGTGAAATTTTTCACATATCATTTAAAATAGACAGATGGATAGATTTTTTGTATAATTTATATACCGTTACTCAATTTAATAATTGAATTTGATAGAAGAAACTATACCTGAAGCATGTAACTGCAAACAGTCAAAACCCTAATGCAACCAATATCTCTGAGTAGATCATAAAGAATATCACCATATTCACCGAACTCAGCCTCGAACCCAAAGTCTAGATCAGCCTCCCCCAAGGCATTCAAGTAATCTATCATAAAACCATTCATTGGCCCAGAATACTTGAAGAAGAACAACTTTGGAGTCTCAATGCCGATCCCATTTTCAAGACTCCAGCACTTATCAATCACCAAAGTCCTAAGCCTTGCTGCAGAAATATTAAGGTTCTCCAAATTCCAACACTTCTTCAAACTCAAACTCTCTAGTAATCGACAGTTTGATAACAATGCGTTAAAAGAAGTAGTTGACAGTTGAATCCACGCTAGAGAAAGACTCGTTAGAGCACTGAAGTTGATGAACTGGGAAACCCTAAATTTGCATGCAAACAACTTCAAAGATTTGAATGGCTCTTTGTGTTCATAAACACATGGAGGCAATTCAAACAAATCAGCATGGTTATTATCAAGATCAAGATCAAAATCTTGTTGATCCCATGTTGGTTCCGAGAAGTCAAGTTCAAGAACTTTTGCATTATGACCAATGGCGAATTGAACAAAATTTTGCATGGCCTCAACATAGTTCTCGGGTTGTGAAAATGAGAAGCGAAACTTATCCACACTCACTGGGCGAAAACCTTGAATGAACTGTGTTGAGAAATCGATGAAACCCCTTCTCTGATTCCCTATAGTTTCTTCATTGGGTTGATGATTTTGTGGTTTTACAAAGAGAGTTTCGTCGAGTTCTATGTTCTTGGTCTCGTGCCAGAGGAATTGCCATCGCTTGGACAAGGTTGATGTTCTTGCCGCTTCTTTGAAGGGCAAGAAGGAGATGATTATGAGAATGAGTGAGTCTGTCAAGTATGAGAACATGTCTTGATCATTGTTTTTGTTGGCCATGGTGGAGTGTGTGTGTGTGTATGTGTGGGGGAGGCTGTGTGTTGTTGCAAGAAAGTTGATAAGAGAGTGTGTGTATATATAATGAGTGAATCGTTGCAAAACAAAAACCAAGAGTTGCTTATATATATATATATATATATATGTTTGGTTTGGAGGGAAGCATGGTTCGGTTCGGTTATTATAGTTGGGGTTTGAATTAGAATCTTGAGTGGACAGTTTTTAAAGAGGGAATTTCAGTTAATTGCATGTTTTGAAAAATTAATATAAACAAATGGAAAATTTTATAAATATTTATTATTTATATTAATAATTAAAATTATAAATTTTTTTTCATGAATTTGTAATAAGTTTTTAAAATTATCACTGTAATTTTCCCACTTTTAAACCAATTAAAATTAATAATTGGGAAATTGTTTCCATCCTTGTATGTTAATGCAGAAATTATACTTTTGAGGACTTAAAATTTAACAATCACTCGAATTTTGTATTTATTTAACTGTATGGTTAAAAATCTGAATTATTATATGGATACTAAAATTTGTTTACAAATTTGTCAGAATAGTGAATTGTGGAGAGATTTAATTTGGGATTAACTTCTCTCGGGTTTGAAATCGGACCAGAGAGGTATTGTCCAGTTCATTAGATTTATATTTAGATCTCATTTTAATGATTCGAATCATTCTTATTGTAAAATTCGTTGCGTATATCATTCCTGCAAAAATTCAAGTCGGTTAGATAACGACAATCACTTATTCGGATCAGTTTTGTATGAAAAAAATAGACGATGAGAAAATTAACAGTTCATACAAAATTGATTTGTACACGTAATTTACGTTATCCGATCAACTTGATTTTTTGCATGGGTAATATACTCGACGAATTTTAAAACGTAAACGGCTTGAATTATTAAAACAGGATCCAAAAATTAGAGGTGATCGCGATTCGGTTTTGAACGATTTGCGGATTGGTTTGAACCCGCCCGCATATATGCGGTTTAGAAAAAATTCAACCCGCAACTATCCGCAGTGCAGGTTGCAGTTTGTACAGATAGGGTTCGCGTTGTAAATATTTATTTTGAGTCATTTTCCCCCCATTTTCTAAAATATTCCAACATTAATAATTAATGAATTAAAATTTATAAAATTAAAAACACAACAAAATCAATTCTTAATACAAATAAATCATTCAATACAAATAAATCATTCAAAATCCTAAACTTTTAAATTAAATCATAAACTAACACAAGCACATCTTTCAAAATCCTAAACTAGATCATCAATCTCATTCACTATCTACTACCCAACAATACAATTAAAGTAAAACCATTCAAAATTCTAAATTTACCTAAAAGTAATTCTTCATTAACTTTTGCATTCATCCAAAATACAATAATAAAATAACAATGGTCCATGCTTTTTTTTTTAAAAAAAAAAGTCTAAGTGTGGCCGAGTTCTTACGGGTGCGGGTTAAACCCACAATATTCAAACCATTCATTATCTACTACCCAACAATACAATTAAAGTAAAACCATTCAAAATTCTAAATTTACCTAAAAGTAATTCTTCATTAACTTTTGCATTCATCCAAAATGCAATAATAAAATAACAATGGTCCAAGTTTTTTTTTTAAAAAAAAAAGTCTAAGTGTGGCCGAGTTCTTACGGGTGCGGGTTAAACCATTCAAAATTCAAACTATTCATACAAACCCCAAATGCAAACAGTAACAAGTACCGATCATTGCAAAAACATAAAATTTTTATAAAAAAAATCAATTATTTATTAGCTACTACAATGAAAGTCAAAAAACAACTTTGTTTTCAAAGTATATACATCAAATCATCAAAATGAAAAGGTTACCCCCTCCCAACCAAAAAAAAAAACAACAATAATAGCAACATTTCCCTGAATTTATTTAAACCCCATGTCCATCTGCAATGCCGGGTACTTGAACCGGGAACACTACATAGTCATATAAAATACCAGCAAGTGCAGCACCAATTAAGGGTCCGACCCAATAAACTACATGGTTCTTGAAACTCCCTCCAACAAGAGCAGACCCGAATGAGTAGGCCGGGTTCATTGACCCGCCTGTAAATGGCCCGGATGACAATACATTGGCTCCTAAAATGCAGCCGATTGCTAAGGGTCCAATTGCTCCCAATGGACCATGTCTCGGGTCCCCGACTGCATACACCGTGTACACCAAAGTGAAAGTCATCACACCTTCCAAAATGGATGCTCCAAACCCGGTCATTTCTTGTGGGATTCCATGGACGGGTACATGCTGCAATGCCAATTCTCATTTGCTTAAAAATTTACGGCAATCAAATAAATGGAATTTGAAAAACAATACTGTAAGAACACATTCAGATCCTGAATTTTTTTGTTTATTGTTTTACAAAAAAACACTAGAAGAACTATTTTAGAATATATAAGTAAAGAAAAAAATTCAAAAAACATACCCACCTCTGAAATATTCTGGTTCTGTTTGGTTGAGTTTGTTTCTAAAAATCTTTAAAAACTAGTTTGGTAAACATTTGGTAACTATAATATAAAAAAATAAAACAAATTCTGAAAATTAGACCAAACATAGCCTCACTATTTCTATCCATAGATTTCTTGTGCATGCAAAAGTACTATTTTAGAAAACTAATTTCAATAATCAATAAAACTTAAAATAAAAAACCAAATTTGTATATATTTCAAAAAAAAAATGGCTCAAAATAAAAAGCAAAATTTCAAAATTTTGTTATTTTTGTTTCCAATTACATAAAATAAAATAAAAAACGACAATGATATGAAACAAGTCAAATTTTCCATACTTGTGAGACGGTGGCAACTTTCAAGAGAAGACAAGCCAATACAGAACCAACCAACTGCGAAATCCAGTAAAAAATAGCCATAGGAACACTAATATGCCTCCCAACCGCCATCCCAAACGTCACCGCGGGGTTCACATGTCCACCGGAGATATTAGCCGCCACATAGACTGCCACTGAAAATGCAAATGCACTCGCTATAGCAACCGCTACAAGCGCAGACGGATCTGTAGCAGCATCCGGCATCATCTTCCCTGTCATATCATCAATTGCAACTTAATTTTTATTTTAAAAAAAAGTTCCATTAAAGAGAGTGTGATTTTTAAATTGACAAAACCAGAATTCAAGATAGAACTCTCACTTGAAGCCATGGCGGAGCCAACGGCAGCGAAGACGTAGAGAAAGGTAGAGATAAATTCGGCGAGGTAGGCTCGGAGAGCGTCGGGCTTCACCGCGTGCTCGAGACGGGAAGTTAGAGACGCCATTGCCTGATATGAAGAAGAAGAGACGATTTTCAATGTATTTGGGAATTGGTTCATCAGAGATTCGGATAATTGGTTGGATTCGGAGTGAGTGTGAGTGTGAGTGTGTTTATATATGAAAACAGAGTTTGATTACAGAGGGTTGTAACGTTTCGGGAGGGATTGAAATTTCAAATCCTAACCGTCAGTCTACGTGGCTGATTTTGGTTGGCTGGTTTTGGCGCTAGCAGTTTCAACCCGTTAACATAGAGGTTGGGCCCTTGATATTTTACAAGATTTAGGACTGTATGTATCATATGTTTGTTGGACTTGGGCCATCATCTCCTCTCATAGTATTGGTTTAAAAATAAAAATTATTCACTCTATATGGTTTTAAATTTTCAAAAATAATTTTTTTTATTTTGTTGCCTTTTTTATTTTTATATTCTAGTCATTTTTTTTGGATGCATATAATTTAAATGTATTTAAAAGTAAAATATTTGTGAAGAAATTTTTAAAAATTCAATAAACATAAAATTATAAAAAATTGAAAATGTACTTTTTTATATTTTTAGTTATTTAAAAAAAATCATAAATTTCATATATTTGAAATGTACCTAGATTAAGTGAATCTAAAAAAAATTATTAATTTTTTAAAAAAAAAAATCATTAAAAATTCAAAATTAAAAAACTATTTTGAAAATTCCAAAAAGCTACAAAAAAAATGTGTATACATGACACAACTATTTGATTGAACTTAGTAGTTTACATTTAGCTAAATTATACTTTTACCCTTTAACATATTATTCTCTTTAAAGAAAATATTCTCACTTTGATCCTTCAAACAGAAACTAAAGCTAAAACAAAAATCCAGTCATAATTTGGCTTCCATCACTGTAAAACAAAAATTCAAACAGTTCCACCAAAAACTAAAGCTAGAGGAGGTAGTGTGACATGTAGAATAATGGGTGGAGGGAGGTAAACGGGTGTGGTGGATGGATGGGTTTGTGCTAGGATTATTGTTTCAATTTATGGCTTCGTTGTGGCCCTTCAAGAAGGATACTACAGATTTAGAAAAATATATTCAGAATTTAATCAGGAACATGTAGATATTTGTAGATGAGAAATGATTTTTATTTTAAGAAATGTGGAAGGATGAAATTTTCTCCACAGGGAAATTGAGATGAGCTGCTCTTTCCTGTGCACTGTAAAAAAAATACCAAGATATCAGTGATCTCTCCCGACCAGAGTTGGTCGGGAAGACCCTCCGACGATCAAGTTAGAATATAGTTTTGACATAGTATGAAAAGAGAGACTACTTGTATTTGTTTATTAATGAAATTTTTGCTTGTCCTTTTTGTCATTCTCGGTTCTTCCTTTTATAGTGTCGATACCTTGCATTTGGACTGTTAGATGACTGTCTTGATCCAATGGTATTTTATGCCCCTAGACATTGGTCGAGCAAGTAGACAAGTTGTCCTGATTTGCCACTGTCGAAGTTATTTTATTTTGGATGGCCTAAATTTAGTTTGGACATTGGCTCTCATCTTCGATCGTCAAATCTTACTCATCGGATGATCATGCTGTCAGAATATGCTGATCTCATATCCTCATCTCTATCAATTCTGATCTTCGTTGTTAGTTACAAACGGATCCAAAGGCTTTCCTTCGTGTTGCGGATCTCCTTTTAGAAGGCGATCTTATTCAAACCTCTTATCACGTGACTTCGTTTCTTTCTTTGAGATAGACCTATCAAGGGCTTGGGCCTAGCCCTCATTTTGGAGCTTGTTTTGACTGGGTTAAATGCTTTGGGCCATGTACCTATTTCCTTGGGCTCTAGGTCGATACTTTTACCCTCCACAAGAAATAAAGATGTAGTTAATTTGTTAAAAAATTGATACTTTTGACATATTTTTTTTTTTTTAAAAAAATTGTTAACATGTAATTTTACAACACATGCTAAAATAATTTCAAAATATTATATAAATATAAAAAAATAAAACAAATTCTGAAAATTAGACCAAACATAGCCTCACTATTTCTATCCATAGATTTCTTGTGCATGCAAAAGTACTATTTTAGAAAACTAATTTCAATAATCAATAAAACTTAAAATAAAAAACCAAATTTGTATATATTTCAAAAAAAAAATGGCTCAAAATAAAAAGCAAAATTTCAAAATTTTGTTATTTTTGTTTCCAATTACATAAAATAAAATAAAAAACGACAATGATATGAAACAAGTCAAATTTTCCATACTTGTGAGACGGTGGCAACTTTCAACAGAAGACAAGCCAATACAGACCCAACCAACTGCGAAATCCAGTAAAAAATAGCCATAGGAACACTAATATGCCTCCCAACCGCCATCCCAAACGTTACCGCGGGGTTCACATGTCCACCGGAGATATTAGCCGCCGCATAAACCGCCACCGAGAATGCAAACGCACTCGCTACAGCAACTGCTACAAGCGCAGACGGATCTGTTGCAGCATCCGGCATCATCTTCCCTGTCATATCATCAATTGCAACTTAATTTTTATTTTAAAAAAAAGTTCCATTAAAGAGAGTGTGATTTTTAAATTGACAAAACCAGAATTCAAGATAGAACTCTCACTTGAAGCCATGGCGGAGCCAACGGCAGCGAAGACGTAGAGAAAGGTAGAGATAAATTCGGCGAGGTAGGCTCGGAGAGCGTCGGGCTTCACCGCGTGCTCGAGACGGGAAGTTAGAGACGCCATTGCCTGATATGAAGAAGAAGAGACGATTTTCAATGTATTTGGGAATTGGTTCATCAGAGATTCGGATAATTGGTTGGATTCGGAGTGAGTGTGAGTGTGAGTGTGAGTGTGAGTGTGTTTATATATGCAAACAGAGTTTGATTACAGAGGCTTGTAACGTTTCGGGAGGGATTGAAATTTCAAATCCTAACCGTCAGTCTACGTGGCTGGTTTTGGTTGGCTGGTTTTGGCGCTAGCAGTTTCAACCCGTTAACATAGAGGTTGGGCCCTTGATATTTTACAAGATTTAGGACTGTATGTATCATATGTTCGTTGGATTTCGGCCATCATCTCCTCTCATAGTATTGGTTTAAAAATAAAAATTATTCACTCTATATGGTTTTAAATTTTCAAAGATAAGTTTTTTTATTTTGTTGCCTTTTTTTATTTTTATATTCTAGTCATTTTTTTTGGATGCATATAATTTAAATGTATTTAAAAGTAAAATATTTGTGAAGAAATTTTTAAAAATTCAATAAACATAAAATTATAAAAAAATGAAAATGTACTTTTTTATATTTTTAGTTATTTAAAAAAAATCATAAATTTCATATATTTGAAATGTACCTAGATTCAGTAAATCTAAAAAAAATTATTAATTTTTTTTTTAAAAAAAAATCATTAAAAATTCAAAATTAAAAAACTATTTTGAAAATTCCAAAACCATAGAGAGTAACTGGAGCTACAAAAAAAATGTGTATACATGACACTACTATTTGATTGAACTTAGTAGTTTACATTTAGCTAAATTATACTTTTACCCTTTAACATATTATTCTCTTTAAAGAAAATATTCTCACTTTGATCCTTGAAACAAAAACTAAAGCTAAAACAAAAATCCAATCATAATTTGGCTTCCATCACTGTAAAACAAAAATTCATACAGTTCCACCAAAAACTAAAGCTAGAGGAGGCAGTGTGACATGCAGAATAATGGGTGGAGGGAGGTAAACGGGTGTGGTGGATGGATGGGTTTGTGCTAGGATTATTGTTTCAATTTATGGCTAGGCTGTGGCCCTTTCCTATTAGGAAAGAAGGATACTACAAATTTAGAAAAATATATTCAGAATTTAATCAGGAACATGTAGATATATGTGGATGAGAAATGATTTTTATTTTAAGAAATGTGGAAGGATGAAATTTTCTCCACAGGGAAATTGAGATGAGTTGTTCTTTCCTGTGCACTGTAGAAAAAATACCAAGATATCAGTGATCTCTCCCGACCAGAGTTGGTCGGGAAGACCCTCCGACGATCAAGTTAGAATATAGTTTTGGCATAGTTTGAAAAAAGAGACTACTTGTATTTGTTTATTAATGAAATTTTTGCTTGCCCTTTTTGCCATTCTTGGTTCTTCCTTTTATAGTATCAATACCTTGCATTTGGACCATTAGATGACTGTCTTGATTCAATGGTATTTTATGCCCCTAGACATTGGTCGGGCAAGTAGGCAAGTTGTCCTGATTTGCCACTGTCGAAGTTATTTTATTTTGGATGGCCTAAATTTAGTTCGGACGTTAGCTCTCGTCTTCGATCGTCAAATCTTACTCATCGGATGATCATGCTATCAGGATATGCTGATCCCATATCCTCATCTCTATCAATTCTGATCTTCGTCATTAGTTACAAATGGATCCAAAGGCTTTCCTTCGTGTCGCGGATCTCCTTTCAGAAGGCGATCTTATTCAAACCACCTATCACGAGACTTCGTTTCTTTCTTTGAGATAGACCTATCAAAGGCTTGGGCCTAGCCCTCATTTTGGAGCTTGCTTTGGCTGGGTTAAATGCTTTGGGCCGTATCCCCATTTCCTTGGGCTCTAGGTCGATACTTTTACCCTCCACAAGAAATAAAGATGTAGTTAATTTGTTAAAAAATTGATACTTTTGACATTTTTTTTTTTTAAAAAATTGTTAACATGTATTGTTACAACACATGTTAAAATAACTTCAAAATATTATATATTTTTTAATATAAATATTTTATGAGAATATATATCCGGAAAGCAAACATTATTAAATAAAAATAAATAAAAAATGGCAAGGCCAAACTAGCAATGGTACAAAAATTTAGGATATTACACCTCAGTAATGTTAGGAAAAAAAATTACAAACAAATGATAAATATTATAAATTAAAATCATAAATATTTCCACTAATGTATAATAATTTTTCAAAATATGCCCTGAATGATAATTTTCTCAATTGTCTCTCTATTCAACTCCCCATTTAAGGGAGTGAACTTTTGACTCCCTACATTTAATCACTCCCTATAATTGAAAAATTATTCTCTCTTCCATCACTCACGTTTTTCTCAAATGGTAGAGGAGAAAGAAGAAAACTTGAAAAAATAGTTTTGATAAAAAATTATAAAGAAAAATTATTTTTTTAATATTTAAATTATATAAAGAGAAAATAGGGAGTATTGTTGGAGATGATAGTTGAAAAAGTAGTTTCCTAAAATATGAAACTTTTTAACTAAAATTTGAGGAAAAAGTATGGAGCATTGTTGGAGATACTCTCCACCGTGCTATTGGGCCCGTGAGGCCCATCACAAGTTTTATTTTGATAACTTGAACCATCAATGTGTAGAACTCATCGAGTACTTCATCTTTGTAAAAAATTACGTTGATCAGAACACATTTTTGTCACCATTGAACAAATATTGTTTAATCAAGGGGCTATCGATATCCAATCAACGTGTTTTTTTTTTTTTGCAGAGATAAAGTGCTTGATAATGTCTACATATTAAACGGTTCAGATTATCGAAATGAGACCCGTGATGGGCTTTACGGATCCAACAGTATCATCTAGTTAGACTGGAGACAAGCCTGCTCCATGCTCTAATACCTGATTTTTTTAGGGAAAAATGGCGAATTACACTAATAGTTCATGTAGTTTGGAGTTATTGTCACTTTAGTCCCTGACTTTTCAGTTGTGATACATTTGATCCTGAATTTTAAATCTTGTTCCAAATAAGGACAATCAAATATGTTTCCTTTGCAAACAGTTCATTTTAAGGACAAAATCGTCACACAATTATTGTGTGTTGGTTAACTTTTATGTTATTTGAAATGTAATAGCCTTTTTAAAATGAATAATGTTGGAATTTTCTTAATTATAAAGTTCTGTTTGGTTTACTTTTCATAATCTATTTTCAATTTTTCTTCTAAAAAATAAAAATTAAATTGGTGAAAAACATAAAAAAAAAAAAAAAAAAAAAAAAAAAAACACATCATTTTTATATAATTTTCTTTTGGGAGGGTAGAAATAATTTTTATATATTTATTTTTGTTAAATTAGTTTCTATTTTTTCAAAAGTCAAACATGATGGCAACTTTGATATCATTATTAAACCAATCCATTAAATCAAAAAATCCAAGACTAAAAATATTTCATATATTAAACATATCGATTACACATTAAAAACCTAATAGCCATCCAAAAATATCTATTAATAACAAATATAATCATCTATTACATGATAGCTATTCAAAAATATCAACAAAAATAAACAATTCATTACATGATCATCATCTAAACATATATTAAAAATTAATTTGATAAAAAAATAAAAAAATAAAAATGTAAAAGATTTATTATTTTTATATAATTTTATTTTTGGATGGTAGAAATAATTTTTAAAAATTCAAGCATAATTTTTTGACATTTATTTTTATCAAATTAGGTTATATTATATCAAATTGACGACTTTGCCTTTGAAATAAGGCAACGGTGTCTTCAATTGCCCTTATTTGGAACAAAATTCAAAATTTAGAATTAAATATATTACAATTGAAAAGTTAAGAATCAAAGTGACACAAGTCTCAAACTACATGGACCATTAGTTTAATTCGTCAAAAAAAGAAAAGAAAAGAAAAGAAGATAGTAGTGTAACCACACGCGCTGAGTTGTTGATTTGGGAACAATTTTTTTAGCCTAACTTTTTAGTTAATTTTAGTCTCATTTGGCAACTACATATTTTAATCAAGGGGGTCTTTTTTTAAGGTCCCTCGTATTAAGACTTTATAGTATAAAGGACATCTAATATTTTCATAATGTCTAAAGTCCCTCAACATTGATCCAGATAAATTTCAGTCCAGAGAAATTTTGTCCAGAGAAATTCTGGTCCAGAGAAATTTCAATCCAGAGAAATTCTCTGAGTTGAAAATATTGAGAATAGATTGATGACAATTCTGGGAAGGAAATGATCGCCTGTTTCTGTATCTAAACTGAGATGTGCAATTCTTCATTAATCTTTTTCATGTTAACAGAATAACCCAAAATTTTCTACCTGAGTTATGTGATCGTGCTTGGTCATTTGAAGTTGAAGATGACGATGGCATTGACCTTGCTGACTGAGAGGAATTGCTAGAAGGCATTGCCTCAACAACAAGATCAGGATCCTGCTCGTAAAAAAAAAAAATCCCAATTACCAACGAAAATCAAACACAAGATTCTAAATTCCAAACCCAAAATCCCAATTACATGACATATACTTCTAACTCTGAGAAAATTCAACCAAAAATAACATAGACAGATAAATATCTGGTACATATATCAACTATGAATAATCCGTGAAACTAAATATAGGAAACCAAAGGATAACTAAATAATCAATAGAAGAAACGATTCCCAAAATTTCAAAAAAGGTGTTCACAATCTTGACCAATGCAGACTAGAAACTGAAAGACCAGCCATATATCCACCACTATAAAACACTTGAAGACCAGTTGAAATTTACTAGATGCAACTCAAACTCCAAGAGACTAATAAAAATAAGTGTAACTAACGTAAGCAGAAATATACATTTATAGACACCTATTTGTGTATAAACATGCACTTTAAAAGAATCCCACAACCAAACCATTAAAACCCAACATAGATACAGGATCGAACTAGATCCATTAGAGCATCTCCAATCCTTAACTTAATACTAGAGAAATTTTCAATCCAAATTAGAGAATTTTTTTGGACCAACCCAGAGAAATTTCAGTTCAAAGCAAAGGCCTGATCAAAACGTTACATGTTAAACTATACAGGAGATGAACTTAACAGAGGAACAAATACAATCCTCAGATGCACTTCTAGAGATGAGTCAGGGACACTGGGTTGGTCCAGAGAAATTCTTTAGTTTGGACTCAATTTTCTCTGGGTTGAACTAGTGCTCTGCTTCAGAGAAAATTGTGTTGGTCCAGAGAAAATTGTGTTGGTCCCAACTCTTCATCCGCTTAATAACTAGTATGGTCACGACTCACAAGTATCTTCTGGAGTTAGCATTTACACATCCATGCTCAGTAATTGTCTTTCCAAATCTTTTGCCTTCTTTTTATATTATTCTTTTTTCTAATGACTCTTAATCCTGTCAAGTTTGATGCCATCCAGCAACAAACAACTACAATTTCCATTACTAATAGTAATGACAATAGTAATGGTAAATAAAAAAAATAGCAAAAATAAACAAAAAATTAATACAATAGAATAAACAGTTAAAAGACCACCAACAAAGACAGTAAAATATGAATCCTTGACAAAATTACCTCAAACATCACAAGAGTAGGTTCTATAACACGCTCAGCTACTGAAGCATTAGCTGCTGTGACTGATGCACCTTGATAATCTTCCAGGAAAGCATTTTCTGAGTTTATCGAGTCCTCCAACTTTTCTTCTCTAGGCTCATGTAAGGAACAGTTAGCGATAACAATGTTATCAGCCGATAAATCCTCTTCTACTTGCTATTTTTTGGTTCCAATATTAGAGTCAACACGAGAATGTAATCCCACAGCAACATATTCAGAACTAGTTTCGATACTAATGGAACCATCTGTTGATTCCTGGTTGATATCATGATGCACATGCTCCATTAGACTAGCCTCACCAGCATCCAATGGAGCTGTAAGTTTTGCAAGAGCTTTTTTGGCCTTATTCATGCCAAGGGACAAGAATGGACAATCAACTATAGACGAAATTTCAGGAGCTAGACAGATGTAACAAGAAGATGTGAAGATGTGAACTCAGATCGGTTTCACCGCGCTCCGTCGTTAGCTGGCCGTTCGTCGTCATTCTCCTTAGCGGCAATAGCCTTTTCGAGCTCGCAACGAACGCTACAATGGAGAGCTGATCGGAGGAGAAGAGAGACGATACAACCAAGCGGAGGAAGTGCTGCTCTACAACAGAGCCTTTTCGAGCTCGCAGCGAACGCTACAATGGAGAGCCGATCGGAGGAGGAGGAGAGAGACGATACCACCAATCGGAGGAAGTGCTGCTCTGCAGCAGAGGGGGATAGACAAAGAGTCAAATTTCTCTGATATATGTTTAGGAACCTTAGACATCAAAAAATAATTTTGTAGATCTTTTCCATTACGAAAAGTGGGAGAGGGACCCTAGACTAATTTTCCCTTTAATGAAAAAGTCACTATAAGTTATTACATTATTCTCTTTATTTTTCTGTATATCTTTTCATAAAAGTCAAAAAGTTATTAAAATAACCTATTCTAGGTAAATTAAGCTTCGTTTGGCACAACTTTTTTGTATTGGGACTTTTTTAAGCCGACTTTTTTACCCTCGTTTGGATTAAATTTTTTGACTTTTATGAGAGAAAAAGTGTAATGATTATGGGTTAGATGTGATATTTTATTTTATTAACTTATTTAGCATATTTTGTCATTTTATACTTTTTTTAGCTTCAAAATAATAACCAAACCAGTGCTTAGTTATGTTTTTTTAACTTTTTTATGAAAAAATAATTCTGATTTTAATGTAATATTTTATTTTATTTTATTAATTTATTTGATCTATTTTATTTTTTTATATTTTTATAATCCTAACCTAAACCTAACTCACTTGGCAAACGAGAGGTAAGGGATTTGGGCTCACGAATGAGGCTCTTCAGCAGAGAGATTGGGAAGTTTCTGAGGGTGGTTGCCCCTCTCCACAAACAAAAACGATGATCTTTCTTTGATCATCAGAGCCGATGACTTCACCTCCAAAATCAACAGCCCTCTCTCCGCGTGTGTGTGTGTGAGCGCTCGCCAGTGAAAGGTAGGAATCCACTCCATCTTCTTCTTTCGGGAATTTTTATTTTCATTTATTTATTTTTGGATGCTGTTGTGTTGTGTTGTGTTGTGGATTAAAAAGAACATCAAGGGGCATTCCCTCCCATGGGATTTACCCTCCAGGACCACCAATTGTATAACTTCTCCTCAAAAAGAGAACTAAGGGATTTGGTCTAACTTCTCTCTACGATGTAGATCTGGGTCCACACTCCCCATAGCATGGGGGAGGGAGAGAGAGAGAGAGAGAGAGAGAGAGAGAGAATCACCCGCCCAAGCCCAACTCACTGGGTACAGCTCGAGAGTAAAAAATTCCAAATTTGGAAGTCCTAGTGGTGGTGGTTATGGCTGTAAATGAATCGAGTTGTTCATGAATAAGTTTGGTTTGATTTGTTAAGGGCTCAACTCAGCTCGATTCGTTTCCAAACTCGAGCTCGAATTCGTTTGGTAAAGTAGCCGAGCGTGATAAGTAAACGAGCCAAGCGTAAGCTCAACAAAGCTCCGTTTGGCTCAATTTGTTTGCAGCGCTCGTGTGTGGTGAACCAACCCACTCTTCCTCTTCTTTCTATACCACTCACTGTCTTTGTCCCCCCAAAAGCACCATTTTTTATTAGAATCTACACCCGGAGACAGTGAGATTGACTGCCACAGAGGTATCTCTCTCTCTCTCTCTCTCTCTCTCTCTGTAAACTCATATGTACAGATCTGCCTTGTGTTTTTTTATTTTTTTTTCAATTTTGATCTGAATATGGGGTTGGGTTTTTAATGGTGTGAGCGTATTCTGGATGTCTTATTAATTCAGTATTTTGATTCTATTTGTTGCTTAGTTGCTGGGAAAATGTAGGGTTACAACCAAAATATAGAAATGCTACCAATATTGAATTTGGGGAGTTGGCAGACAAATTGAAAATACTTTAGCAGTTATTACTCTCATGTCAATGGGAACATTCAGTTATAATTTTTTTATATGAATCACTCCAATGGCCAAATTCAGATTTAACCATAAATTTGAGTAAAAGTTTCACTACTAGGCAGAGTGATAAATTTGAGAGCCACAAATTAGCTTTTACAATTTTGAGTAAACATTTGATATAGAACTTTTGAGTAAATAAGTTTGGATCATGGAGTGTGTTTTGAGTGATTTGCTCAAATTTAAATTGACATAGGTTTGATTCAAGGATTGGAGATGCCCTCGTGAGTAGGAACAAATTAATTTTAACCCAAACGGTTGGTCCGGTTTCTAATTTTTTGAGGTCTCATGTTCAACTCTAATGTGGTGCAAAATACTGAGTTTTACCTTACTCGCATGATTTGTAGGTGATTGCATGTATCCAAAGTTTGTTGGTCTTGTATTGTATGACAAGGTGGGCCGGTCAAAGTCATCCATCATAAAATGAAAAAAAAAAAAAACATAGAAAGAAAAGAAGTAGGAATAGTTTTCGTATCCCGGACTTAAGGAAAGCAAGAATTGATAGATGGAGCAATGTTAGTTATTTGTTTACAAGTCATGTTCTGAATCTCTAGCCCTTTTTACTTTGGCATGATAAAGAAAGCCAATAGCATGAAATGACAACACAATTGATTATCAATTTGATTACTATGTTGTTTGATTAGCAATATGATTACTACGTTGTTACTGATAGTCAAATTCCAAAATAATGAACATCCAAGTTCCAACTAGGATTTTTATCTTACAAGGGAAGCAAAATAAGAAAATTTTGAGAAACGGGCAGTATATGTGTATGTACTGTCTGGTTTATTTTCTGGACCAGTTTAAGGTAATAAAGTTGAACTTTCATTACATATTTCTTAAAATGTTCACGTTAAAGGTGGTCATGGACTTTGAAAAATAATTTAGTATGGATATAGTTGCAAGGATTATTATCATTTTGTTTCTTGTTGAATTTTTCTGTGTTATTTGGTTTTGTGGCCTTTTGCTCTCTCTTTGTAACAACACTGCACAAAGAGAACCATTGTCATTAGTGACTGGTCTCTATTAAAGTCTCGAACTTCTGTTTGGCTAGTAAGGGAATTGACCTTTGTTTTTCACTTGCTTCCTTCTTAATGTTTCTTGTACACAATTCTTAATTATTGGTGCCCAACAGGGTCTCATCATATCATTCAAGATTATATCAAAATTATATTAGAAGGGATCTGAAAGAATTTTTTTCTTGGTGTATGGTTCATTTATGACATGAATTTTCATCCTTTCAAAAGTTAAATATGTTTTCTTTATTTTTTTATTTATATTTTTGACATTAAATTTTTTGGTTCTCTTTCAGATGTCCAAAGATGTGGAAAATCCCAAATATGGTGTGGCCCAGAAAGATTCAGAGGAGGGTACAGATGCCCCTTCCCATTCCAATGAAACTCAAGTCACTTGGTACAGTTGCTTACTCCAGCAAGCATCGGTCTACGGCATAGCTGCCGGATACTGCCTTTCAGCGTCCTTACTCTCCATCATTAACAAATGGGCTGTGATGAAATTTCCCTATCCCGGGGCACTTACTGCTTTACAATACTTCACAAGTGCCTCTGGTGTCCTCCTTTGTGGGATGCTCAAGCTCATAGAACATGATTCTTTAGACCTTCTCACAATGTGGCGGTTCTTACCAGCAGCAGTTATATTCTACCTCTCTCTCTTCACCAACAGTGAACTCCTCTTGCATGCCAATGTCGACACCTTTATTGTCTTCCGTTCAGCGGTCCCTATCTTTGTTGCAATAGGAGAGACACTCTACTTGCACCAACCATGGCCGGCGATCAGAACATGGATCTCGCTTGCTACCATCTTTGGCGGTAGTGTGCTTTATGTCACAACAGATTATCAGTTCACACTCATGGCTTATAGTTGGGCCTTGGCTTACCTGGTGAGCATGTCCATAGATTTTGTTTACATTAAGCATGTGGTTATGACAATTGGGTTAAACACATGGGGTCTTGTACTGTACAATAATCTTGAGGCTCTGCTGCTGTTTCCACTAGAGCTACTTATCATGGGAGAGTTGAAGAAGATAAAGCACGAAATTTCTGATGAATCCGATTGGTACTCTTTTGAGGTGGTTTTGCCAGTTGGGTTGTCGTGTTTGTTTGGTTTAGCAATTTCTTTCTTTGGGTTTTCATGTCGGAGGGCGATTTCTGCAACGGGTTTTACTGTTCTTGGCATAGTGAACAAGCTTTTGACAGTTGTGATCAACCTGGTTGTTTGGGACAAGCATTCATCATTTGTGGGTACAATTGGGCTTTTAATTTGTATGATGGGTGGGGTTATGTACCAACAGTCTACAAGCAACAAGTCTAAGGCCGTGAAAGAAGTAAGATTGCAAGAGAGTGAACAAGAACAACATAAGCTACTCGAAATGGAGAGCATTGAGGAAACTAATGATGATGTCAAGCAAGTTACTAACTCGGGACAGGGTAAATAAGAGGTACATTTGTTGTATTTTTTGAACCATGTTTAGGCGGATTTCTTTTTTTTTTTTTGTCTTTTCATAAAAGCATTTTTTAGAGCTTAAAAGAGTGTCACCGGTAATACCTTCTTCACTGAGTTTGGATGTAAACCAAGTGCCTCAGCTACTACTAGTAGGGGATTAAATTTGTTCCATTCTTACTGATTTGTATATTATTTTTGATCTTACACATTTTATGTATTAGGCATTTGTTAAAACTTTCCTTCTACATCATTAGGATCCTTGAAAATTATATCTTATTTCATAGTAGATTAGAAAAACCACTGAAATTCACTCATAATAAGCACTCAAATCCTTGCATATCTATTCATTGATATCTAAATGTAAGTTATCAACTTGTATCAAAAAAATAAATGAATAAATAAATAAAAATATGTAAGTTAAAGACCATAATATGTACTATAGAAAAGTTGTTATCAAACTTCCATAATTGATTGCTTTTCCACAGAATTAGACAATTTAAATTCAAACTATAAACTAAACAAGAACCACAAAATTACCATAATGTTTTAGAAGAAACAATAAAATCTATTTGTATCACCCCAGAACTAGTGTCTACTGCCTGGCACGGGATATAAGTTTGAAGAACTAAAAGCAGTCCGTGAATATGCCCCATCCTCCAACTCCCTTTCCTCTTAGGGTCCTTAGCAGCCGCGTATAGTCTGGCATATCTTCTCTGAATATAACAAATTCTTCTATGCTATCATAATCACTGTAGAGATCATCGTTCCCGTAACTGGTAGGAGGAGGAGAAAACAGTGACAGTCATAATTAGTGTCTACTGCCTGGCACGGGATATAAGTTTGAAGAACTAAAAGCAGTCCGTGAATATGCCCCATCCTCCAACTCCCTTTCCTCTTAGGGTCCTTAGCAGCCGCGTATAGTCTGGCATATCTTCTCTGAATATAACAAATTCTTCTATGCTATCATAATCACTGTAGAGATCATCGTTCCCGTAACTAGTAGGAGGAGGAGAAAACGGTGACAGTCATAATAGAAATATCTGAGCTGCTAGAGCCATGAAAATCCTGTGCACTCTGCCTTGCACCACCACCACCACCACCAACATGGCAGGGGCAGCCGCCACGACATCCAGCCATGAGTTTCTTTGATGGATATTCTGCTATTGTTGGATTGATAATCTATGCTATATCTATATACAAATGTAGTGTAGTTTCTATAGCTTCCATTCTCTTAAACCTGGTCTCTCATTTAAAGTTATGTCTATCTCTCCTACTTGCCTCATTTATGGTGTACTTTTATTATTGAAATACCTTGAATACACATGCACAAAGACACATTTTTTGTATTTATTGAGAAAATTACAGGTTTGATTTGCATTAAGAATTTAAATAGTGTTCATATACATTTGATTTTTGGCCGATTGCAATTTAAATTGTACTTATATAAATTAGCATTGTTCCTATTAGTCTTCTTTTTTTTTTGGGCAAATTACAAAAAAAAAACCCCAAGGTTTCAATTTTGACAAATTAAACCCTAAAGTTTCTTCCGTGTTTCAATGTGAATTCTCCGTCCATATCCGTTTGATTGAACTAACAGAATCTAGGCAAAATTTTCAGATTCAAACACACATGTTCAAACACTTGTATCTCCCTCGTCGTAACTCCGTTTCGCCTCATTTTTACGTCGTTAGATTCATCTCATTGCCTAATTTTCATTCCACCTCTCATATGCCTTGTTTCACCTCCTTTTGCGTGCCGTTGGAACTCCAAAAGTTGGCCAAAAATAAGATTTTTCTTTCTCTGAACAAAATTTTCAGATTCAAATATACATGTTCAAGCACTTGTATCTCCTTCGTTGTAATTCCGTTTCGCCTCATTTTTGCATCGTTGGATTCACCTCATGGCCTAATTTTCATTCCATCCCTTATACGCCTTGTTCCACCACTTTTTGCGTGTTGTCAGAGCTTCAAAAGTTAGCCAAAAATAAGATTTTTCTCTTGTTATGTTTTTTGTTTTTTGTTTTTTTTTTTCCTCGTCTATCTTTTATCTCCATACTTCTTCATTCCTCTTTCGTTTCCACAATTATTCTCTATTTTCCTCTTCCTTCATGGCCCTTCTCCCACTCTTATGTTTCTTTCTGTTCTTGTAAGTCATATACATTTATACTCGATGACACCGCTATCATCGGAGGTTCGGTGGCCACCACGAACTCGGTGGAAGGGCCATGAAGATGAAGGAAAAGGAAAAGGAAAAGGAAAAAAAAGAGAATAATTGTGGAAAAAAAGTAGAAAGGAAGAAGCATGGAGATAGAAGATAGAGGAGGGAAAAAAAACAAAAAACAAAAATTTATTTTTGGCCAACTTTTGAAGCTTTGACAGCATGCAGAAAGAGGTGGAATAAGGCGCATGAGGGGTGAAATGAAAATTAGGTCATGAGGTGAATCTAACAACGCAAAAATGAGGTGAAACAGAATTACGATAAGGGAGATACAAATGATTGAAAATGTTGGTTTGAATATGAAAATTTTGCCCAAAGAAAGAAAAATTTTATTTTTGGCCAACCTTCGAAGCTTTGATAGTGTGCAAAAGGATGTGGAACAAGGCTTATGAGAGGTGGAACGAAAACTAGGCTATGAGGTGAATCCAACGACGCAAAAATGAGGCGAAACAGAGTTACGACAAAGGAGATGCAAGTACTTGAACATGTGTGTTTGAATCTGAAAATTTTGCCCAAAGAGAAAAAAATCTTATTTTGGGCTAACTTTCGGAGTTCCAATGACACACAAAAAGAGGTGGAACAAGGTGTATGAGGGATGGAATAAAAACTAGGCAATGAGGTAAATCAAACGACGTAAAAATGAGGCAAAACGAAGTTACGAGGTGGAATGTGTGTTTGAATCTAAGAATTTTGTCCAAATTCCATTAGTTCAATCAAACGGATATGGACGGAGGAGGGTTCACATTAAAACACGAAAAAAAACTAAGATTTAATTTGTTAAAATTGAAACCCTGGAGTTTAAATTGAAAAACACACAAAACCTTGAATTTTTTTAAAAAATTTACCTTTTTTTTTTACACAATCGTCCTTTGAGATAGGGTAAGAAATGATTTTTAACGGTACTACTGTGGATGGTTCTATGAGTGCTCCAATCAAAATCCAATCTCATGTTTTATTTTGTTCCACAAAATCCAAAATATAATATGTACATACTTGGTTTGAAAATCGGAAATATTATGTTTTTGAAATGAAAACTCTACCATACTAGACATGATTTCAATTCTTTTGTTTTTCTTTATAATTTTTTAATTTAAGATTAAAATTTAATTATTTTCATTACTTATTTAATTTATTAGATTGCAAGAATCTATTAAATTTAATACTATATTTTGTTTATGATTTTAATGGATAAATAATTCAATAAAGAATAAAGTTTAATATGGTTAAATGTATATTTTGATAGATATTTGTAGTGTCCCACCAATAAGGCAATGCAAGTTTGCTATTATATTAACAATATATGTTAGTTTTATTTTTGTTTTTATTTTTATTTTTATTTTATGTTATGAAAAATAAAATCAATCATTTTAAACATAATACAACTAAAATTTATTTTGGGTGGAGTAAGAAAATATTAATTAATTTGATGTATATTATAAAATCATAATAGATATTACGTAATAAAAAATTTATCTATAAATCTCATCTTGAGGAATGGTGATCTATTTAGTTTCAAAGATTTTCTTATAGACCCATTAGTCCCATTGATTTTGGAAAGATAGATTTAATATATTATTTGAAAATTAAATTTACGGTTATACCCTCATTTTTATTATGTTTCCTTCTCTCTTTTTTTCGTGCTAGAAATGTAAGATACACAAAATATGATAATCAAATTTGGGATGAATTTTTATATGAGAATCTTTTTTTATTTGGAATGACTTAAAATGTGAGATTCTTTAAATATTTCAAACTGTGTACAAAAATAACTTCAAATATGGGATTTTTCAAACATTTTAAAATGAGTACAAAAACTCAGGCCTTGTTTGGCATTACTATAGCACAAAAAGTCAGAAAGTTACTAAAAAAAAAAAAAAGTCTCTACTATTTGGGGAAGTGTATGTGGGAAGTCTAGAGGGAAAAATTACAATTTTGCTTTTTGAATTCAACAACCCAACAGTGCAGCTCAGTGCTGCAGATTACTTTGCATTTACATTTCCCCAAATGTAATGACGTTGCACGATGTAAGTCACAAATTCCCATTAAAAAAAAAATTGAAATGCACAGAATGAAAGCAGTGCTGTTGCATGTGTCAGGAAAGGTAGAACGATAATTTTGATATTTGCTACAATATTTGATTACACATTTTTTTCGTAAAAAGTCAAAAAAATATCTCAAATATACATTTTTTTCTCTAATTTTTTAGCAAAAAAGTCAAAAAGTGCACTTATATAGCACATCCCAAACAACCCTAGGCAAATGTATAATTTCAAATTAAACACTCAAAAAAAAATTCTTAGTGTACCTTTCCCAAATCTAATACTCTAATATAAAACTTAAAAAAAACTCTTCAGTATAACACTCTAGAAAAATGATGTGAGATTCTTCAAATCATTTCAAAAGAAGTACAAAAATTCCTTAGTAAGCTTTAGGCAAATGTATGATTTCAAACTGTGAGTATTACGTTGGGAAAAAGTATACTAAGGAGTTTTTTAGTGTTTTTGTGTGTGTTACATTGGAGTGTTACGTTTAGGATTACATTGATTGAAATGTTACGTTTGAAAAAAATACACTAAAGAGTTTTTTTGTATGTTATATTTATGTATGTTACTTTAGAGTATTACATTTGGAAAAAGTACATGAGCTTTTTTGGAGTATTACATTGTTACGTTTGGGAAAAGTATACTAAATTTTTTTTTAATGTGTTACATTGAAATGTTACGTTCTTATTCGTAATAAGAGATTTGTTCCAGAATGAGAAAAAATTCAAAACCTCTATAGTACAAACTACCTAAATGTGTACGTTTGAATAAATTCACTTTTATCTCTCAAAAATTAAACTCAAACACATAAATGACTATCATTTTGTGTAATTTCTACTTTAAGGTGACCTTTGGATTCATAAGAAAAAATGAAGAATTAAACAATTCAGAAAATCAGATTTTGAGATTTATTTGTGCTTCACCCTTAAGTTATTTGTGCATTAAACTCATAGCTTTTTTTTTCTTTTAATTTAT